ATAGTTTTTGTTTAAAACAATAGTTCTGAGTTCTTTGTATTCACACAATTTCATGACTTTACAGCTTTGATTAGCTTTGCCTCATAGCCATCTGTGATAATAATAATGATATGCTTTCTATCTGTGTATCTGGTGTTTGAATAAAGCTTCATGTTTGACAGCTGCTGGGAGTCTTTGTTCCGTTCCACAGGAGCTTCCAGGTTTGGGAGCAAACGTCTGGTCTGACAGGATTCCTGCTGAGGGGCTCTCCAGGCAGGAAACCCCTCCCTGATCTGGGTTCAGTCCCACCAGCTGTTGGTCTTTAGGCTTCAAGCTGCTCTGAAGGGTTGAACTCAAACGGCTGATTCTAAAAAGACAATTTTAGTTGATTTTAACATTACAACTGATGTTAGCTGATTCTAATTTGAGCTGATTTGAAGACAGAATCATCTAATTTAGCTGATTTTAACCAAAAAAAACTCATTTGAGCTGATTTGATAACAGATACAGCAGTTGAGCAGTTGATTTTTTACAGAGAAACGTATAATTTTAGCTGTTTTTAACACAGAAAGAGCTGCTTTTAACATAGAAACAACTTATTGTAGCTGATTCTAACAGCTTATATTTACTGAGAAACAGCTGATTTTTACACAGAAGCGGCTCATTTGAAGACAAAAAGCTGATTTCAACATAAAACTGCTGGTTTGAACATTAAAAACAGTTGATTTGAATACAAAAACAGCTGGTTTGAGCTGATTTGAACATTAAAAACAGCTGATTTGAACATAAAACAGCTGGTTTGAACCTTAAAAACAGTTAAAAACGTCTTAGTGTGAGCAGAGCTGAACCTGGACAGAGGACGGCCTGGTCACTCAGACTCTGGACCCCAGCATCAGCAGAGTCCTGGAAACACTGGACTGGCCCCCAGCCTCCTGCTGACCACACCCCATCGGGTCTGCAGGACAAAGGCAGAGGAGGGCTGGAGGAGCTCTGACCGCTCTGTGGAAACAAAATGGAGGCTGCTGCTGTCTGACCGGGAGGGAAGGAGGAAGTGTAGCTAACCTGTGTGTGTGTGCGTGTGTATGT